ATTCTTTTATATTGGATTTACAAAAGAGGTTTGTTAAAGCTTGGATGAATCTTGTGAGAAGAAGTAAAAAAAGAAATGAAATCAAGTTCTACATTACTTGAATGGACTAAAGATTAAGATTGTTAGAAGCAAAAGGAAGGAATATAAAGTTGGTTTATTTGATCAAAGTTAAAATAGAAAAGTTATTTCTGGCAGCCCTTAACGGACTTTTGCTGACACTAGGACTGAAATGATGATGCTTTATGGATTTGTTTATAGATAAGATATGGGACATGGGATGAAGAGATCATTGGTTGTAAATTAAGAGGTGAAAAGTTGCTAAAATTGTTTAACTAGTGATGGAAATTGGAACTTTTAAAATATTTTTCTTTACTATATTCTTTTCCTTCCTTCCTTCCTTCCTTCCTTCCTTCCTTCCTTCCTTCCTTCCTTCCTCCCTCCCTCCCTCCCTCCCTCCATGTTTTTTCTTTTCCTTTGCATTTTTTACTTCCTTTCTACTTTTCTTTCTTTTAGCTTCTTTTAGACTTTACTATTGCAATTATAATCTTGAATAAACTTATTTTTAAAGGGGCTGCATTCCCCCAAAATGGCAAAACGTCTGTTTGGGGCTGCTCTTTGGTCCTGGGCCAACCTTAGATTTGAGGGCCTTGGCATGGTTGCATCTAGCGTACCGGCTGTGATTCTGCAGCTGTCAGATTTGGCAACACTTCTCCGGGCCTTGCTTTCATTTCATTTCAGTTTGGTTCTGCCGAGTCAGATCAGAAAGACACTCTACACATGTGCAGAGACTACGTGGCCTTATGCTCCAGGGCCAAGCTCACGCCCACAACACTCACCTGTTCTTAACGGCAAGATGCCGCAGGAGGCGCCCGGCTCCAAAGGGGAGGGCGTCCATGTCTTCCGTGGCTGCACACCAGGCATGCCCAGACTTCACCAGGGCGGCGCAGGTGGCTTCTGCCTCCGCAGGAGCCTAAGTCACGCGCCAAGAGAGGAAGGGAAGCCTCCTGTCAGAGGGGGGTTGAAACTAGGACGTCAGAGTGAGAGCGCACGCCTACAGTATCTCTGGTCTGAGTGCCCAAATCCGAATTGGAGACGCTTTCAGAGGTCAGAAAGAGCTCCAGAACAAAAAGTCACATCATGCAAACGCACCGTACATCCAAATCCCTTTGTTTTGCTGTGCCTTTTCTCTCGGCTTAAACACACCTGCAAAAATTTTGCTAAAGTCTCCTTACATCTTCCAGACTCAGTGAATATATTTAGTGTGGGGAACCCCCCCCATATGATGCAGTTAATTTACTGGCAAATTTGAAAAGTGGCAGTGAATCTGTTCCGGGCTCTGCGACCCTGGCACTGAATCCTCTATGAAAATCTGAACACCCTAGCTGTTCTGTTCACAGGATCCAAACTCACAAAGCCGGAGTAACTCCACAGGGGCCTGTGCAGAAAGCTACTTCTGGAGACTCCTGGGGACTAACTTCAGTGTGGCGAATTGGCCTCATGCCGGTTTTAAGCCAGCTAAATCAAATCCCAGCATGGAACTCAGAGGGCTCTCACACCTGGGCATTTAATCTGCTCAGAAGGGCCCTTCTCAGCTCCCCCCCATCAAGTAAGAGGAAGGGTCAGCTCAGCAGCTCGGTCTCTGGGAAAGCCAGCACCCTGGGGAAAACCTTTTTGTATACCAGCCCTTTAGGTCTGTAGCGTTCAGCCCCGCCTGACACCGTGGCATCGTTTGTGAGGGAGGGGCAGTGACCCTGGGGCGGAGCCTGTTTGGCCTGCAGCAGGCACAGTTCCTGGCCCCACAAGCAGATGTGAGAAACACAACCAAAACTCTGGGACCAACTCAACTTTTCTGGGTCAGCCACAGATGGGGGCTTCTGCAACACAACAAACTAACTATAGTCCTTTTACTGCTATATTGGCACTCACTGTCCCTCTACCCTATTTCACCCTTGCTAAGCTACTGCCTTAGTCCACACGTTACGATAAACCATGATGGTTGATCTGGTTCTCTGTGTGGGCTCCCAGTCTGTTGTTGCTCATTCAACAGCCATGGTTAAACAAACCTCAGTTTAGGGCAATTCTGTGAACCAGATCATCTGACTCAGCAGCAAATTCTGGATCACCCTACCTATCTGTTGGCTCTCCTTGAGTTTTGGACATTCACCTACGTAGTCTTAATGCCTTCATTGCTCGATTTCTCCCTTCAATTATATTTAATTCCCCAAGAAACGAACACCCCTAAACGAAAGCTGCTGCTGCTGCTGCTGAACTTATCTGGACAACCAGATACCCATAACTACCAGGATTAAAAGAGGGCAGTCACGCCAGAATTATTCTAAGGCTAATTGTTCGCCCCCATCCAACCAACCCTAGTACCTGTCTCAGGGCTCAAATGAACCCATATTGGATTTAAACTCTGTCTTTTACACAGGGGCTCAAGGCAATCTGTGTAGCGCTTCTCCTATTTTCCCCACAACAGCAAACCTGTAGGGTAAGAGACAGGGATTGGCCCAAAGTCCCCAAAAGAGATTCCAGGGCTGGGGAGAGGATTTAAACCCAGGCCTTCGCACATTTAGTCCAGGACTAATAACCCAGATCTCCCCCTCCCAGTCCAGCTCCTTCCTCACTGGACCCCCTTTGCTCTTGGACTGAGAAGGAAGGACTGGCCCAAAGTCCCCCAGGGAGCATCCACGGGTGAGGAGGACCAGAACCTGGGTCTCCCCCTCCTATTCTGGCCCTTTCCCCACTGCAACCTTCATCACCCATGATGGCGAGGAGATGATTGGAGACCACACAGATACCAACGTCCTGCTTTGCAGGTGAAAAGGTAAAGGCGCTTCCAGAAACGCCATACATGTCTCTCTTGTCCGGCCCTCAAAGAGGTGGGAGTCTCAGAAGAGGGCAAGGAAACCTTCCCCAGCTGGGAGGAGGCTTTGGAGCCCTGCATTGCTCTTCTCCCACCCCAACTCCTCAAGATGGGCAAATCATAGGAAACGAAGGAATGCAAACCTCTGCCCGGCTAGCCTGGGGCTGCAGACAAGATTCAGGCTCCTCGGAGGCAAAAGGCTAGCCCGGTCTGCCCACAGCGCCCACGGAAACCAACTCTGTCCTCCTCCTCCTCCTCCTCCCCGCTGGAATCTGGGGAAGCCCAAAACAGAGCCCCGCCCCCCAAGCAGGGCTGTGCTCTCTTCGCCGGGCTGTTACCTGGACGCAAGGAACACCCAAGTAGCTCAAAAGAGTCTCTGAGTCCCGCCCCGGGGGTCGCGCTGGAACATCAGGCTCTGGAAAGAAAGCAGGAAGACAGACCCAGAGGGAGCTGACGCCCTGGAGACCCCGCGCCCCCCTCGCCCCCCAGAGCAGAGCCTTTCGCGGAGGGACTCCCGGGAGCCTCTTACCTGCAGTTCCCCTCCTGGCTCCGGAGACGGCGGCCCGTTTGGCCAGCTGCAGGGGAAGG